AGATATTAATAAAAGTATAAAACAAGTATTATTAATATTATTAATAGTTTATTTATTAGTATAACTAATTTTCATATAAACTCCGTGATATCACTAAATATATTAAAAAACAAGATCGTCTACATCATACTGGTGAGCACGATAATTAATTTTATTGTGTAACGATAATATAGGAGTAACGCGAGCGATCAGGTGATCAATATCATATGATATATTCAAAAATCAGTTGAGATTTATATTTAAAAATTATGTCGGTGCTGCTATAGTATAGCGGTATAAAGCACTTGACTTTCAACCTCGAATAAATGGGTTCGAGTAAAACTAATACCAAAAAAAAAAAAAATTAAAAAAAAAAAATTTTTTTTTTCTTTAAAAATAATATATTTAAAGTATTACATAAAAATATGATTTTGCTCATTATATTACACGTTCCAAAAAAAATTCAGACTTCCTTTTTTCCCAAGACAAACGATAACTCATTAGCAGCTAAAAAAAAATTTGTATTGGTGACGAACCTTATTAACTTTTGATATTCTTTATTTTATTAAACGCCAAAAGTAGGAAGGGCAAAGACGGTATATATTTATTTTTTTTCGTAATTTGATTTTTTATTTTTTAATTTTTTTCTGATAATTTTCTTTCAGTATAGACCACGTAACGAGAGTAGCAGGCGACTGGAGTTTTAACGAAGTGTATTAGACGAGACGTAATTGCAGCCGACAGTGTTAGCTTCAAGAGATGATGCTTCAGGAAGTGGCTCGTAGCACCACTTATGAGGTGGTACCGAAAAGTCCGAAATCGGCAAGAAAGTGTTGAAATGAAAGAGATATTTCATGTATCATTTTTATTTAGTTGATTCGGCGTTGAATATACGGAATACTTTGCAGGTAGAATGTTTGCACAGACTACTTTGCGGTGGCATGCTCACAAAGGAAAGGTGAAATGCTATGTTCGTGTAGTTTTTGGGTGGAATGCTCGTAGGGAAAAGGGTAAAATGCTTTGTTCATAGTTGGTTCTGCGATTATTTAGCGGATCTATGTAAAGCAAAGAAATTGTGTATGTTTATCTTTTAAAATAAATTTTTTAAGGAAGAAAAGTCGACTCTTTTGGAATCACTGTTTATGGAATCTGAGATAATTGAAAAAAAAAACCCAATTGCAGTGGGTAATTTATCTTTACAAAGAACTATTTCTAGATCTATTATTTTTCTAACTTTATTTATGATTTTCAGAAAGGAGGAACGATGGAGTTTGAAGGAATAGGTCTCCGTCATATTAAGGAAACTTTTTCATAATTACACATCTTAAAAGTCACCAACTACATCGACAAACAGGATGAGGATCTCCAAGCTTAATGTTTCAATCAATATTTGAGTCAACTGGCGATGATGTACCTACTAGAATACAGAAGCTTGGAGATTATGAAGATTTTAATTCAAGATTGTTAACAACCGAAGTTGAAGATGATAACGAAGAGGAAGAACTAGTATTATCTGATGATGAAGAATCCTAAATTACTATAAATGAATATTTTTAACCTTTTGACGAAAAAGTCAAAACTAGTAATTAAGAATGGAATTTGTCAAGCGGAATACTCGTCAGAAATGTCACTCACAAAAAACATTAATGGTTCTAGAAAATTCTAAAAATAACAAAAAGGAAACATTCAAAACAACATGCTACAAATAAAATTCGAAGTCCGTGTTCTTGAAGGCATTGGGAAGATTGAGGTTGTAAGTAAAACAGAAAATTGATTGATGTTCTAATGTTTTGTCCACTAATATCACTTCTGCAGTTATGTTTATACTAGCGTGAGAGTAATTGATAAAGAATATGAAGAATCGTCCGGCCCCAAAATCAATCTTCAAATCACGAAAATATATTTCACAATGTGCACTTTTTCATTTGTGGTTCAGTAACTGTGCCCGTAAATATTAAAACTAATTCAAACCTTTTATTTCTTGCATTGATATGATCCGCATATTTTTATGGATGAGAATTACAAAGAATAAAACTGACGGAGATGAATTTGTTCTTAAAACACTGGCCCACTGTGATGGATGGACATTATTTTTCAGATGTAAATCAAATTGTCAAACTTCGATGGTAACCGCATTTTTTATGGAGCATTCTTTGTAAATTTTACTATCTGTACTTCAGTACTGCATGCAGGAAAATGATTTGAGGATTGAAACTCGGAGGCAACGCATAGAATTCAATCATTCTGAATGTGCTGCTCAATCACCGACACCTGCAAAAATTGTTCGTGGTTGAAGATTTTACGTACGACAAATGTATCCTTGACAATTATATGACGTAATATTTCTGACAAAGAGACTGAAAATTCGGCAATATTTGGATTTACAATTTTCTGATAAGATGTGTTTAAATTTCTTGATATTTATTTGACATCTAACATTTTATTGTTGTATTAGGATTAAATGTTCAACTTCTTGCAATGGATTTGTTTGATAGATTTTCAAATATGAGCTTTACAATAAGTATGCTTACTGTTTTACATTTCATATATAGAAGCTTTTATGAAAAATTTTTTAATAGATATAAAATTAACTCCGAAAATCGTGAAACCGAAATCAAGATCCCGATAATTCAAAATTCCCGCTGGTGCCAAAATCCGGAAGATGGCATATATATCGTTCATTTAATTAAATATTGATATTTGCAAAAAAAGGAAAATAAAATTGGTGCAATTTTTATATTTTATTTAAATCGATTACTGTAGTTAATGTTCGCAATTTTGAAAGTTTAAGAATAGGGTATTGAATATAATGTTTTCGTTAATTGGCTTAACTATAACGAAAAATTAAGCGCGATCTCGCGAAGAAACTTCATCACTGAGCGATTTTCTCGGCCATTAAAAATCGTCATAATCTTTTTTATTTATGAAAGATAAAAAATATTTATAATTCGTCTTGATCGATCATTATGATTTGTTCACATAATAGGGAAACTGCCGGAAAATAAAAATGAGTTAATACTAAATCTGAACTTATTTTTGGCCTAAAAACCTAAAAATCATCTTTGGCATATCATATAAAGGTAATATATTTTCTCCACCTTTCTATCTTTCTATTACAAAGGTCCCATATATCGTATCGAATAATAGGTATCATATGTTATTGGTTGTAGTAAAAATTAAAATTTCTGGGCGGAATTGCTCCATTCCATTTATAATATATAGTAGTTTAAAATTTATGTTTATTTGATTATACTAAAATCAAAGTATTAATTGAAATTGAAGTATTGCTAATAAAAAAAGTATAATGAGACTTATGAATTGAAGAAACGGCCGGGATGTGACGCTACGTGACAAATTTGCTAACCCTTTAATTAATCCTAATTCTACACTAAACCTAATCCTAACCCTAACCCTAACTCTAATACTAACTCTAATAATAAATACCCGGAAAATAAAATCCAATTACCATTTTTTACGGACGACGCTATGTTCGTCTTTCAAAATATTTCGGTTTTTAGGTTTGTCGGGATTATAATTTGTCGGTTCCCGAAATGATTGTTAATTTTCGTTGTGCACTAATTACAACATAGTGCGTTATCACTTAATTCTTTTACATTCAAAGGAATTAATTTCGTTAAACCAATTGTTAAGCAAAATGGTTTTACGATTTGCCTTGAAATTTATTTATTTTGAAGATTAGGTTTAATTTTTCATAATCCTTTGCAATTGAGTTTCTCTTATCATTCATCGTCATTGTCTCTCTCTGCCATACTTAATTAATCATGATACTAACTTTAAAAGTCAAGGATAACTAATAATTTAAAATCGTTCATCATGAAAGAATATCATCAAAATAATATTGGTACACCCAGTAAAAATTATTAATTGCCCATTATATTGTTAAACATGTTCCTTGAGAATAGAATTTATTAAATCTGAGAAAGCATAAGGCGGGTGGTATCATTTCTATCTATCAAACGGATGGTTCAAGTGCTCTAGAACATTGTTAGTCTCAAGGCAATATCTTTTTATTTATTAAGTAAGTCTCATAATTTGGGTTATTTAGTAAATAATCTTTATCAATTTATTTTTTCTATGTATCATTCTTATAACAATTAATTAATTAAAGCATCAACTTGACAAAGCGAATCAAATACCTATTCTTGAGGGAAAAAGAAATTTCGATTCTTAGTATATTCCTTTTGCCTAAAGTAAAAAAAATTGTTAAAATAATCCAAGCAAGGATGCATCAAAAAATTAAGCCCAACATATAAAGTTATTTTTTTTAATGAATATGTTTAGGTTTCTTTTTTAATGATTCCAAATCTATCAGAATCACTTTATCTTTAGCATGTTTAGACTTTTTATTAATTTAAGCCATTTGATCCTTAGCAACTTTAGCAATTTATTGATAACATTTTAATACAATCTATATTTATCACTTTATTATTTGATACAATTCATAATCATCTATAAAATAAACATCTTCGGTATCCCTTATCTTTTTTTCATAACTCTGCTTTTTTGCAATAAATTATATGGTAATCTGTTATATTTGATGAATACAATATAAGATCCAAAACTCCAAAAAATCGCATCCTTAAAAAGTTATCTTTAAAAGAAAATATAAAACTCCATGTTATAGGATTGTATCTACCAATAATTTCTTCCGTTCCTTTTACTTTTATAAATACAACAGTAATGGATTTATAATCACATAATTCATGAATTTTTTTGGGAGTAAATCCATCATGAATCCCTCTCAGTAATAATTTAAATTTATATGGAAAATATAATTCTTTGGTATTATGAAAATATACTTTATCGATCCATGTTGAAATTAAGGAAACAGTCTTTATATTAATGATTTTAATCAACATTCCCAATTCTTAGGGGATAAAAGATCTATTTCGCTTTCAGGATCCAGATGATATATTAATAACTTTTCATAAAGATGATTATTTTAAAGGTTATTATTTGGATGATCTTTTCGTAAAAAGTTTTAGAGGATTAGCTAAAAAATCTGATTAATGTTGCAAGGTGATTTTCATATTTTTAAAATCCGAGTTTCGGGGTCTGAAATAAGCGTCGGATTTATGCGAGACCCCACCTTAACACATGTTCCCAAACTTCAACTTCTTCCATTTGTAAGTCATCTCTTTTAATTAAAGATTTTTCGGAAAGCAAAGGAAAATTATGTGATTTAAATTCTTTCTCAGGTGATTTAGCTATTAAATCTGTACAAAATTGTTGAAGTTCAAGAAAATTATTAGATTGAAAACTCGTT